CTTATTGGCCATTTGTGTATCTTTGTTGGAGAAGTGTTTGTTTAGGTCTTCTTCCAAGTTTTGGATTGGGTTGTTTTTGTTTTGTTTTGTTTCGAGTTTTATGAGCTGCTTGTATATTCTGAAAAATTAAACCCTTGTCAGTTGCATCACTTGCAAATATTTCCTCCCATTCCAAATGTTGTCTTTTTGTTTTGCTTATGGTTTCTTTTGCTGTGCAAAAGCTTATAAGTTTAATTAGGTCCCATTTGTTTATTTTTGCTTTTATTTCTACTGCCTGCATAGATTGCCTTAGGAGTACATTCCTAAGATTTATATCAGAAAAAAAATTTTGCCTATGTTTTTTTCTAAAAGGTTTATAGTGTCTTGTCTTATGTTTAAGTCTGTAACCTATTTTGAGTTAATTTTTGTGTGTAGTGTGAGGGAGTATTCTAACTTCATTAGTTGACATACAACTGTCCAGTTTTCTCAACATCATTTGCTGAAGAGACTGTCTTTACTCCATTGTAGGTTCTTGCCTTCTTTGTTGAAGATTAATTGACCACAGGTTTGTGGGGTTTTTTCTGGGCTCTCTATTCTGTTCCATTGATCCATTTGTCTGTTTTTGTGCCAGTACCATGCTGTTTTGATAACTGTAGCTCTGTAGTATTGAGAGAGTCACTTTAGATGTAGATGTAGTCACTTCACAGAGTGAAAGTGAAGCGGTGAGACTAAGTATTGCAGGCAAATAGAAACCAAAAGAAAACGGGAGTAGCCATCCTCATACCAGACAAAATAGACTGCCTTCTTTCTTTTTTTCTTTTGAATTTTGAATATTATTCAGGCATAAAAAGAAGAAAATCTTGGTATTTGCAAAATATGGATGAACCATGAAGTAATTATGTTAAGTGAAATAAACCAGCTAAAGACAAATACCATATGATCTCTCTTACATGTGGAATCTACAAATCAAAAATAAAACCAAGCTCATAGACACCGAGAAGGGATTGGCATTTGCCAGAGGTGGTGGGCAGTGCATTGGGGAAATAGGTGAAAGGGCCAAAAGGTTAAAAACATATAAACAAAAGAAAAAGGAAAGCAAATGAGAAGTAACTAATTTTATTTCCTCTCCTGTTTTAGAAAACATATGGTAAATCATTATTTAATCAGTATTTCTGTGGTAGATTAATGTAATTTGTAAAAAAAAAAATGCAACCATCTGTCATTTTGTACTAATTCTTTGGATATGATGTTAAATGTATTAAATCATAAAAACTTAGAAAAGAAGAAAACTGGAGTCATTAGGTGTAATTATTTCACTTTGCAGGTGATAAAATTTTGATACCAACATCTGAAGTAGTTTCTTAAGATCATAGACTTGGTATATGATGACAATTAAAATCTAGAGTTCTTTAAAAAATATTCTGTTCTTTCTAATTTACAAACCTTTAATGAGATTCACAATTTTAGGTATTCTTTATTAATTAAATTTCCATGCTCCCCAGGTATGCTGTTTTCATGGACATCAATTTAAAAATAGTATTTTCTTTAGAGAAAATAGCTTCATAATTAACTTCTTGTGTTAGCCTTAATTTTGTTACATATTTCAAAAAGAAATGGTGCTTCACGAAGTATGACTGAAATTGAGTGATTTTCTTATAAGAAATAAATTTTGAACCATATATGAACAGATGAATAAATTTAATTAAAAATTGAATATAATTCATAAATCTCAAATTTTTTTCTATTCATACTCTCTAATTTATGTGTTTGGTGAATGAACTAATAGATACCTGCATATTCTATTAAATTTCTGTGATATAGTGTATTTTTCAAATGAGATTACTTACAGTATTATTTGGATTCAACTATGTCCAGTGGTAAAATAAGGGATGAAATATTGATATCTCTTCCACTGAATCTTGGGTAATATTTTGTGATGAAAATTATGGACTATACCAGAAAGTCGGTGACATCAGTTCAAATCCTTCTCATCATCTGGGGCTTGTTACAGAAATGTTTGGACAAGTTATTCAAACTCTCCAGGCTGCAATTTCTTTATCAGTGAAATGAAGGAGGTGGATTAAAGGATATTTAAGTCTTTCCAAAGCTAACATTGTAAGAATTCCGTTAAGTGTTGCTGAAATAGTGGTAAGCCATGGTTCATTTGCTTAGAACTTACTCAGGCAAAAGAAGCAGTGTCATTTTATTAAACTTGATGAAGCTTCAATGATCAGCGCCAGCTTCAAACCACCCACAGATACTCTAATTGCCTTGGCAATCGTAGCCGATTAATATCACATTTTTACAAAATTAAGTATTTAAACCGTTCTTCATGCAGAGGACTGTTAAAATCACAACACATTTTATTTTTAACAGTTACCAAAGGAAACTTTCACAACTGATTATAGAAATAAGAGTAACTTAATTAAAATAATGTTTATTCCATCTCGTTCCAACCAGGTGAATTAGGAGTAAGTCATATCTGCTAAGGGTGATCTGTCCCTCGAAATATAAAATAAAATAAGCTCAAACTTCAATCCACATATACTGAGAAATTGAGGGCCTGAACCAAATATCTCCAGATAGTCTGGTTATGGGGATGTGGGCTAGTACAGTGTACTCAGTTCAAGATTTCTGCAGCTACTAAAATTGAGATATTGCTAATACTTCAGTTCCTTCAGTTTTTTTAATTCTTCCAGAATACCTTCGCATTTACTAATTATTTTAGAAAACACTATGGAATATACTACAATAAATTACAAATGACAATTCAAATATATCAACTCATCCTCTATGAAGTATTTGGCTGTGACTCCCCTAGGGGTCATTTTTATCCTACTATGGGATTTACTGTCCAGCTGTGTCCTCTTCTGGTTTGACATTTCCTCTTCTCTAGCTGGCTCACTTTCACATGTCCGGTTCATTTCTGATATTCACTGAGAACTTTTTGTAAGCACCAAATATCAAATAAACTATCTATTGAACAAAGATAGCTCCTTCCAGTGGAAATGTAGTTGCCAGATAGTAGACTAGTAATTCTTTTGTCTCCACTAAACACGCATGTTTTAGATAGCTGTAACTATCCTTTGTAAATCTTCTGAAAGATTGATTGTGGCTTAGAAATGTATAAAAATAAAAAATTACAGTGAGAAAACTAGGATGATGTGAAGTATTTTTGTGAAAATACTCTATTTTGTATGATTATTTTAATAAATTTGGGAAATTATGATGAGAAAGATATCAAATATGATACATAAAATTATGTTTAGTAATGCTAATTAAGTAAATAAGCTTTATGGTATGAATTAGCACTCTCAAGATTACAAAAACATGTATTTCAGTATTTTTAAAATAAAATTATGGTAGCGGTCTTTGTATTGGCATCTCTAACTTCCATAAGCATTCTAAAAAATTATTTAAAACCCCACACAGTTTTAAGATACTATTTAAATTGATGATTTTAAATATTTGAAAGGTACATAATTTCTAAAATATTAGAAATAGTAACACTTTGAAATTAAACTGTTACATTACTTCTTGAAAATATGAAAAATATAACTATTTGCCACATATGATTATCCATTTAGAAAAGCAAAACAAGATGCATGAACATGATACTCCTGGCAGTAACATCTGGATCAACAAGTATGTAAGAGATAATGAGGGTAGGAATTCAGTGACAAGTGAGACAGAAAAAGAGGTGTGCACTAGAGAGACTTTAGAAGTAACTGATAGAGGAAACTGTGAGAGAGCATAAAATGGTGAATCAAGAAATCTCTTCAGTTAACTGGGAGCCTTCAAGGTTCACTGGTGACTGGGAGGAGTTTGCCTAGAAACACTTTGGATTATGGACTGTGCAATGTTAATAGCACAGTTTACAGAATAATGTCCAATAGACACTGGTAAATGATCTCTCCCTGTGGATGGCAATCTGAGCTGCCTCTCTGCCTCCCCCCAACTTGCCTGCAGGAAAATCCATGCTGATGGAGACAAAAGATGATCAGAGACCTCAGTAGGAAATAATATTGATCTTGGAGGCCCTTCTCAAACATTTTTTAAATTTTTTATTGACTAATAAATCAATTTATAAATTAATATAATAAATCAATTAATAAATATCTGGCCTTATAGTAGAATCACTTGGAAGCTTTGAAAAGTACAATGGCAAAAATATACCCCCAAATCAGAACAAACTGGATATGGGACCCAAAATTACATATATTCATTTTATACCCTTTGCCTACATTTTAGATTTTCAGATTCCTGGGACTAGAAATATGAAAGAGATAAAGAACTATAACTTTCAGTGCATGTTGAACAGTATCTTCTATACAATAAGTAAAATATTTTGTTTAAATACACACACACATGCACACAAACACACACATACACATTTGTAAAGTGGAAATTACAAAATCATGAACACAAAGAAGATACTTTTTTTTGGTTCCTGCATTGTATACATGTTATGAATTTGTGCTATAATCGAAAGTGTCATGGTCATGATTAATATCTTTGAATGACACCAAATGCAAATTAGAGTTTATGTGTCAATGTTTTTGGTAACTTTGGATATAATGTAGCATAGGGTATCATCATTATAAATAATTTGATAAAACAATATTGCAGTATATTCTCTAATGTCATAATTTAAAGGATTCAAAGGATTGTATAATCCAAATCAATGTAGCTCAAAAGGTGCAAGCTAATAAAATGCACATCAAAAAATTAGACATTAGATAATTTTTGGTACCATAAATCCAAAAATTAGAAACCACTACTGCAAGTATAAAATTATTTTAATGGTCTATCAAAATACGTGGAGATATATTTCATAAAGTAAGCATAGGTGTTGAAATGATAATTAATCAGAAAATTGTGCAAATGTGTACTTTGATTGTATAAACATACTGACAGTGTAATATCTTTTTTGGTCAATAGTCAAATGAGTTTGGGTTCTTCCTATAATTAGGTATTAAGATGCAAAGTTGAAAACTGTATCTATGCATGGCATGCCTTGAATCCTAGTCTTGGAGTGAAGATGTGGCCATTATTTCATATCCACGTGAAAAAATGATCCAATAATTCAATGGAGAAATCTATTGGGAGTGATTGGAAAAGAAAATGATTTCTTTTTAATATCTAGATTTTTATTTATAACTCCTTCCCCATTTATTCTAGTTCATGTATTTT